GACACCGTGGTTAGGATGCCGTGGTGAGGATGCTGTAGTTAGGATGCCGTGGTTAGGATGAGGATAGCTCACTGAGGTGGGATGCACCAGGTCTTCTTTCTACAGCTGTGGGGAAGAAGGAGCCACGAAGGCAGTCTACCAAGGGTGGTCGAAGAATCCAGAATGTGGAACTTGAACCTGTGGCCTCAGAGGTAGGACGTCTACTAGAAGCCAGGTAGCAAGGACGAGGCCCCAGATGGAGGTGGAAGTGGGCTGAGGAGCGCAGGAGGGTCCTGGAGATGAGGAGCAGAAGCACCAGGGCTCCCGGTGCCACGTGGGTGATAGCACTAGGGGGCATATCCTAGGGCACCCCTCCTCCAGGCCAGAGTGGGGTGTACAGCAAAGGGATAGCACTGTAGCCCAGTTATCTCCTGGGCCTTGAGCCCTGACACAGGCTTCTCGACCCAGTGGACTGGGTTCTGAGCCTGGCTCTGCAATACCAGGGCCTCTGAGCATTGACCTTGGCCAAACCTTGACCAAGAGGTGACTTCAGATGGGGTCTTGAACACTGAATGAAGACAAGGAAGGGCATTTCAGCGAGATCGAATGGCAGGTGCAGATGCTCCGAGGACCCCATGAGACACATTAGCAACACCGTCACACAGGAGCCCAGACCCGGGCGTGACAGGGACATGGGAGGTATGGGGGGGATATATGGGCCGGGCGGCCCAGGCACCCTGAGTGCCCATGATAGGAGTGTGGGCTTTATCCCAAGGAAGGGCTTGTGGCATCCCCTGGAAAGTGGCAGGAGAGTGACGCGGTCAGGTGTGTGTCCCAGAAAGATCCCGGTGGCTGTCGCATGGAGCAAGGGCTGGATGGGAGGGCTGAGGACTGCAGGCAGGAGGCCCAGAGGAGGGGTGCAGGAAGGCGCAGAGACGCGGGTGGCTCAGCAGGGTGGAGAGGGGTACAGCAGCCGTGGGTTAGGTGGAGGACATTAGCACATTGGGAGCCTGTGACTTACTGGGTGTGGCATTGGGGTGGTGAGGACAGGCCCGGGGTCCTGGCCTTGGGAGCTGGTGGGTGACTGGCACTAGGCAGGGCTGGGGTGGGCTTCCGGGATGGGGGTACCTCTGCCCACACTGAAGGCCAGGACGGCACAGGGCTGACGCTTGAGGAGCCCCAGTTTCCCTTCTGAGATTCCACAAACCCTTCCTTCGTGAATAACAGCAGGAACGACACTGTGACCTCACTTGCTCTCCATTACTTGGGGCCCTGATGGGGACAGGCTGGGTCAGATGAAGGCCAGCAGATGTGGGCTCCAATCCGGCGACTGTTGTCATGGTTATTAGACCCACTTCACAGATGGAGACACTGAGGTCCAGTGGCTGGCGTCGGCCTTCCTTCATCCTGAGGTCTGGCCGTGAAATTGCTCTGCTTAACTGACTTATTCTAGACACGTCTTGAGTGCAGAGGAGTACGGGAAGGGGCATTCAAATCACAGAGAATCCAAAGCTGGCCTCTGCCAGTGAACAACCCCGGGCAAATCACTCAGCTGCTCTTAGCTGCCATTCTCGATCTGCAAAACCGGTTGATAAAAGCATCCGATTCACAGAGATGTCATGAGATGGTCCGAGGGGACGTGCTCGGCCCGCGCGCACGCAGTCAGCTCTCAGCAGCCGCCGGGGGTTGATGATGACATCCCTACATGATGCCGACGGGATTCGTGGGGCACATAATTAGTCCAACCGCTTTGCAGTGCCTGGGATCAGCGCACACATCCCAGTAGGGCCGGGCTCTGGATCCCCGTTTTAGGAAAGTGGGGGACTGAGGTTTAGGAAGCTCTGGGAAGTCACACAACTGTATACTGTGGAGTCTCTTGGGAGCCAGGGCTATGGGACCCCATGATCTCTCAAGTCACAGACTCATACATACCATCTTATAGCTGGGGAAACTGAGGCAGGCACAGCAACTGTAAGCCAGGGCTCAGGGGAACCAGGTCTCCTCTGCCCCCAAGCATAGCTGGCCTCTCAGCCCGGGAGTGACAGCGGAGTGTCCCCGCCCAGCCCTGCCTCTGCAATGGAACACTTGGGTCTCTGCTCCGTGTGGGACGTGTAGGATTCCTGCGTGCGTCCTGCTTCGTGGGTGCAGAGATCCCTTAACACCCTCACGGCCTACCCTGCTCTCAGGAATGGAGTGGGTGCTTCAGCGTTCCCATAAACCCCACCCTCTGACACGGCAGGCTGGCCAAGAAAACTTGGCAAAATCACAAATGAAAGATGCTGGGGACCTCGATTGTAGACCTGCCCACATCCCAGCTGGGGGGAGGTGGGGGACAGCGTTCGTTCTCGCCCCCAGGCTGACTCGGGACAGAGCTGGTGGGAGAGGGGCGGGAGGGACAGACAGGACCCCCGCCCCCACAAGTGCCTCATCTTACCAGCCACATGCAGCCTGGCGGGCTCGGCGGGGCCAGATGTGTGCTCTGCAGGGTCCAGTGTGATATGAGGAATGTTTGAAAGTCAGGACAAGCCTTCCTCCTGCAGTCTCTCTCGACCTGGCCTGGTGGGCTTCTTTTATTGCTGGAGTGACACACAATGGTACCTTAGTCTCCAGTGTGCAACACAGTGACTGGGCAAGTCTCTGCGTTAGGCTATGCTCTGCAAGTGTAGCTCTCACCTGTCACCAGGGGACAGTGTCCCAGTACCCCTGACTGTGTCCCCTAAGCTGTGCCTTTCTTCCCCACCAAGGTGGGCGCCCACGGGGAGGGGTGGGGGGCAGGCTGTCATGGTGCTTTTTATGAGCTATTTAACATCACACAGCCCTGCGCCCGGGGACACTGGTGCAGCGAATGCAGACCCTCCCAGGCTCCCACGGCCCTGCCTCTGGACTCAGCCCGCAGGGGGCTGACCCTGACCCTCCCCAGCCCAGGCCCAGGCCCCCCCAGAGTCTATCCCAGGAGGTGGCGGGAGGAAGGACCTTGCAGGAGCCCAGGCTCTGAGCCCCCCCACCCCACTGCCCGCCAGTAAGCTCATTGTTTCATCGGGGTTCACCTACAAAACTCAGATTCAAAGACACATATATTAGGAAGTTCAAGTTGGTGGCCACAGAGCGTTAAACCCAAGCACAGGGCCCTTGAGAGCAGAGGCCCCGTGCTCTTGCCGTGACCGCAGACCCCAGGCACCGAGGGCTCTGCTGTTCCTGCATGGACGTGCTTTCACACTGCCTGCCCTTTGCAGACCCTGCTCCCTCCTTCTCAACACACACCCGGCCTCCAGCCTCCCACACCCCCATCCCCCACCCCAGCAGCGTGTTGTCAAGTCCTCCTGGACAGTGGGGCTCGGGGCATCTCCTCTCAGGGGTCTGCCCAGCCGGTGTCTCTCGGTTCCTACCAGCTGGCCTGGGGGCCAGAATGACTCTTTTTGGAACCCCTATGCCTGACTCTCGGCCTCTCAGAGGTTGAATGCGGGGCTTGCCTGGGGCATATTCGTCATCCAGGGGAGATCACCCCCGACTCAGAAGAGGCTCATCCTCAAAGCATGACTTCTGTCTCTCTTCTCTCTGCCCTGAAGCTCTACGTATCATCGGACCTGGGGAAGAAGTGGACACTTCTGCAGGAGCGCGTGACCAAAGACCACATGTTCTGGTGAGAGCCCCCCCCACTGGGGACCCCCAGCTCTGAGGGCTGGGGCTCCCCTCTCCTCCCCACAGCCCCCAGCTCAGGGCTCCCACCTTCTCCTGCCTCTGACCCCAGCCATGGACCTCCTCACCCCAGGGGGACCTCCAGAGTGCTCTTTCCGCTCTGCTGAGACTGGAGGAAGTGGTGGGGAGTGAGGCTTGCTGTCCCTCAGGTCACCTGTGCACCCGTGAACCAGCTGTCCCTCCTCCTCGCCACCCCTCCCGCTCCATCCTCGCTACCCCTGCCACCTCTCCTCGCCACCCCTCCCACTCCATCCTCATCACCCCTGCCTCCCCCTCCTCGCCACCCCTCCCACTCCATCCTCGCCACCCCTGCCTCCCCCTCCTCGCCACCCCTCCTGCTCTGTCCTCGTCTCCCCTGCCTCTCCCTCTTCACCACCCCTGTCTCCCCTCCTCACCTCCCCTCCTTCTCTCCTCCACACCTTCCCTCTCTCCTTCTTACCCCTCCCCCTTCCTCCTCCCCACCTCCCCTTCCTCGCCACTCCTGCCCCAGGTCCTAACTCAGCCCCCGACTAGCTGTCCCCCTCCCATGTCCCGTGGCTTCCTCCACCCCTGCCTGCCTTGGCCCCGCTCTCCTGCCCTATCCAGTGCCTGGGCTCCCCTCCCACACTTGTGTTATCTCTTGGGAGCCACTCAGTGATCCCTCTGAGCAGTGTTCTAGCCTCATTGCACCAGTGAGGAAACTCTGGTGCTCAAGAAACGTCAGTGGGCTGAGTGAGGGGAGCCCGTGGGGGATGAGTACTTGAGGGGCCCGTGGGGGGTGAGTACTTGAGGGGCCTGTGGGGGGTGAGTACTTGTGGGGCCCGTGGGGGGTGAGTACTCGCCCACGGTGCTCGCGGGCAGTGGAGGGGGCGGAAGCTGGGAGAACCGCTGGCTCAGGGCCCACGTTTGCCGTCCACCAGCCATGACCATGGTGCCTTCTTCTGCCTAAACTGCCCTTGGAGAGACGTGGCTTACACACGTGTTCTTCCCACCAAATGGCTCTTTCTTGCACTCGTGCACACACCCTCCTAGCCTTTCCCCTTCTTAGCTCATTTGTACAACAGACTGCAGACAGGCCTTCTCAATGGGCCACAGTCCTGTCCCCCCGCAGAGAAGCACCGTGGCAATAGTTCTCCTTTCCCTCCCTTGCGCCGTGCGTCGCTAATCACACAAGGAGCTCCTTTCCTGGTTTATGGCCCCGAGGCTGGAGGGAAGCCCGGGTCGCTAAGTCTAGATACCGGCTGCTGGCCTGTGTGCCTTCCGCGGGTCGGGGGAGGGCCGGCTTCCTTCCTTGGAAACCCGAGTGATCACTAGCCTTGTCACTGATGTCAGCTGTCGGCCCCCAGGGCCCCCAGGAGGTGGGGAGGGGCGCAGAGGTGGGATTTCCGGACAGCGGGCCCAAGAAATTGGCGGAGTGGCCGAGCACTGCGGTGCCCCGGGTCCCAGGCCGGGCTGGGTGCTCCGGAGATCTCTCGGGCCGGAGAGGCAAACCTGCCCGCAGATAGTGCGAGGTAAACTGGCACTAATTCCAACATTTTAGTATCTCGGGCAAATCAAATGATTTCTCCCCCAAGTTGCTCAAATTGCCCTGAGTTGTTATGCGTGAGAGATAATCAGGCCAGACACTTGGCCCCTGGGGCCCGGGAGCCTCTCCTGGAATGTGGTGACAGGCAGCCATGGGTCCCCTTCTTGGAAGCAGTGAATAACGCTATTTTGACAGCATTTCTGAGGCACTCTTTGTCCTTGAACTGACAGCAGGAATGGCCAAAGCCCGCGTTCTGTCTGAGGCTTGGACCCCTTCCTGCTTTGGGAGGCTAAACAGTAGGCGAGCTCCTTAGCGTGACCTTGGGGGCCCCCGGGAGGGGCAGCCCGGGGGCAGGAGGTCGGCTGCGTTCTGGGCCCACCAGGGGCACTTGCTAGCTGCCCTCCCTGTGGTGTCTCAGTGGGCCTGGAACAAAACCATAACAGCTCCCCCCACCCCCCCAGGAGCTGCCATGTTGTGGACATTGAACATCTACCAGGCCTGGGGGTCTGCATGCATCGTCTTCTCAGACCCTGATCGTCTTCCTCTCACGTGACAGCGGGGGAGACTGAGGCTCAGGGAGGCTCAGGCACGTGTCCGAGGTCATGCTGCCCATGAGCAGGGGGGCTGCCTCTGCCTGGGGCTGGGGCCGAGCCAGTGGACGCTGGGCTGGGCGGTCTGCTTGCCTGCTTTCTCCAGCCACCCCCGTGTCTGCTTCTCTGCCCGGGCCTGAGCTGACCCACAAAGCCTCAGCCTCCCTCTGCCTTCAGCTCAGCACCTGCCCAGGTGTGGGATGAGTGGCAGGCTGTGGAGGTTGGCTGAGGACACAGCTCATCCCACTCCAAGCCCGGGTCGGTGCAGAGTCTTGGAGGGTTTATCAGAGCTTCCTGTGGCATCCAACAGGCCTGAAAGCTGACTCCCCGTGTCCCCAAAGCACTGCGCTCTCCAGAGATCTGCCTGCCCAGGGGTCATCTCACACGTCTGCTATTTCTAAGCAGTAGACCAAGGACCTTCCCCACGGGCCATCTTTGGGGACCCCAGTGAACAAGAAGGTGCAGGGTCAACACGTGTCCTTCCCTGTAGGGAGCCGGGCTGTATCTGCGGGGCTGGACACACAGCCTTGAATGGTCTTCAAAACCCATGACCAAGGGGTTCTGGGCAGGGACCCTAACCCACTGGGCCCCTGTCTGGTCCAGGGCCTGGTGTGGGCTGCTGGGGCTCAGTCGTGGGGTGCTCCAGTGGGAGAGCCAGAGGATAAGGGGGCTGGGGGCACTGCTCAGTGGGGGGGCAGGTGCAGACTGAGCAGGCAAGTGAGTCTGTGCAGGGGTGAGTGGGTGAGTGAGTAAGTGAATGAGTGAGGGAGTGAATGAGTGAGTGAGAGAGGGAGGGAATTAATGAATGAGGGAGGGAGGGAGTCAATTAATTAATGAGTAAACGGGGGAGGGAATGAATGAGTGAGGGAATGAATGAATTAGGGGGGAGTAAAGGAGTGAGGGAGGGAGTCAGTGAATGAATGAGGGAGGAAATGAATGAATGAAGCAGGGAAGGATGGAGGGAATGAATGAAGGAGTGAGGGAGGGAATGAGTGAAGGAGCGAAGGAGCAAGCTGGTGTCACGACCACACACTGCAGATGACTGGTGGTCACACTAAAATCCCATTGGCCGGCTGAGGACCCGTCAGTGCCCCTGGTAAAGGGAACAATGTCTCTATTCAGAAAAGAGAGAAAAAGGTCAGGCAGGTGACCTCGTTCCTAGGAATGCACAGGTGTTCTGTGCAAAAAGCCTGAATCAAACCTCACCTTGAAGCAGAGACTACTTTGGGGCAGAGTGTCTGGTGCCGCGGCTTTGGAACATCAGTGCACTGCAGGGGCGCCCCACCTCTAAAGTTCCTCTCAGTTGGACAGCGTGCACTTGACCTCCTGGGCACAGGACCCTGTGCTGGGTGGGTGCTGGGGTGGGCCCTGAGCTGTTGGCCCCAACCCTGCCTCCCCGGGAGGATGCTGCCCACGAGCGGCGACCCTAGCATGCACCTTCGTCTGTTCTTCTCGGGTCTCGTTGAAGGCTCCGTGGGCGGCCACAGTCCCTGCTGAGTTCCGGGCACTGCCTGAGCCCTGGGCCCATGTCGGCAAGGGAGGGGCCTGCGGTGTGGCACCTCGCGGGGCAGGGAGAGGGAGCCTGGCGTGAATCCCGGCTCTGCACTTAGAGCTGTGCACCCCTGGGTGGGGCTAGGGGGTTGTTTTGCTCCTCTGAGCCTCTGTTTCCTAATTTGCAAGATTAGGGTGATATTCCCAAGGCCTGCCTAACCTCCTCAGAGTATTTTGATCATAAACAAAACAAAACAAAAACAACAATAAAGATGCAAGGAACGTGAAGGTCTTTGGTAAAGGAGGGTCTTCTATAGAGAGTATCATAAAAAGAAGAGTACCAAGTGAACCCTCGAGTTCTAGCTACCTCCCCAGGAGCAGGTGGGGAGGACTGTGCCCTCAGACCCATGCAGTAAGAGCGGCCCCAGCCCCTGGAGGCCATGTGGCTACCTGGGGCTCGGGGCTGATGCAGACACTGGGAGGGGGCTTGGGGACTCAGGTCCCAGCGCCAACCCCCACGCACTCTCTTCCAGGGCTGTGTCTGGGGTGGACGCTGACCCTGACTTGGTCCACATGGAAGCCCAGGACCTCGGAGGAGGTAAGCCGGGAGGGGTGCATGCACCCAGTGTCCCCTGGTGTCCTTACATGCCGCTGTTCCATTCCTCCGCTGGCCCCGCACAGCCGACCTCACTATGTTATGATGTGGTGTAACTTTAAATGTGCTTGTTTTCCAGCTGGGGATAAATTGAAGTCAAGGAGCTCTGCTCCAGTGGAAAAGTCCATTAAGAAGGTGACTTGTTCTGGCCCCTGAGCATTGAGTGTTTCCTGCTCACTCTGCCCCCCACCTCCATTGCTAGTGAGTGCAGAGGCCAGGTGGGGGCCTCTGATGGCTTCCCTTTAATGGGGCAGGGGCCTGGCCACCCCAACCCAGCTGGCTTCAGGCCAGAATGCGCCCGGGGCCTTGCATGCTATGAGAAAGATCCTCTGTGCTCCTGACGGAGGAGCACTGGCCCTAGAACTATGGAATATTCTAGAACCATGGCGTCTTCCAGGACATCAGAGCCGAGTGGACCGTTATTCAATAAGTGCTTGCTGAGTCCCCCGTGGACCAGGCCCGGTGCTGACCCTGCTGGGGACACAGGTGAACAAGACACAGCCCTTCCCTTTGCCTGGTTGGGGCCAGCACAGGTTCCGTCCACACTAGAAGCCACGGGACCGAGTGCAGCAAGGGGGGGAGGAGCACGGAGCTGGCCGCCCCAGGGCTGTCTCTTCTCTGACCGCCTAACCCTACAGTTGCCGGGGCCGTTAAGCCTCCTCCTGCTGGGTTTCTCTTCCAATGAGACCTCTGTAGGTGCACATTTAACAAATGGTGGGACTTGACAAGTGCCAAGCAGCAGAGTTCCTTGGGTAGGACATACTACGTGGAAGGCAGATTCAGGGCCAGGCCACGGAGAGGTCCAGCTGAGAACAGAATCACTGGCGTCGGCTCCCAGCCTGCCACGGGCCAGCTGCACGACCCTGGGGAACTCACCTCTCCTCCCTGCTCCTCGGTGTCCTCATCTGTGAAATGGGTCAATGCACACGTGGTGCTCAGTGCAGGGACGTCATGGGCGAGTGCTTGCTGGTAGTGGAGGGAAGCTGCTGCGGGTCCCTTAACCTTTTCCAAGCCCTCAGCTCTTTCCAGCGTCCGCTATCCTGTGGGGAGGTGAGGCAGGTGTTATGGTCACTTGCTTCTGCTTCACCAGAACAAAGCTCAGAGGGGTTCCGGGCTTGCCCGCACTCATAGGGTCATAGGCCGGTATAGACCCCAGCTCCCACCGTGCTCCACCCACAAATCCGAGAACATCCCAGGCCTCTCTGAGGGTGCTATGGGGACTGACCCCCATCCCCACCACAGGGCTCAAGGCAGCAGCAACGGGGGTGGTTGTCTCTCAGGGTACGCCCACGTCCAGCGAGGAGAAGGGACAAGCCGGCACCGTGGATGGGGGGGCCATTCTCACACAGTGATGATTTTCCATGACCTGCCCTCCTTGGGGGGCGGAGGAGCCCTTGGCTCAGCAGCTGCAGACCCCCCAGAACCGATGTGCCACTGGAGTGGTGTCCCCTCCCCTAAAGACCACATGTGTCCCCCTGCTTCCCGACACTTGGTGCCCCCACCCCAGCCTGGGAACCCCATTAGAATCCAGTCCAGCCAAGCTCATGGCATGGCATCCGGACTTTCTGGTCCCTCCACCGGTTGTCACTCACCTATCCCTTACCCTGCCTACCCTAGCCAGCCTGAACTATGCGGTCACTCCCCAAGCTCACCTTGCGGGCCCTCACCCCCTACTGGGAATACTCACCCCATCTCTCCATCTTGGGTTTCTTGTTGTCCTTGGACCACCTTCCCTGCCAGCCACCTTCTCAGTGCCTGGGCTGCGGTCACAGCTCTGCACACCGCCCCGCACCTGGAGCTCTGTGGGGATGGGGTAGGGCCTGATCGATTCACCTCTGTGTCCCCAGGAGAGCTGCCGAATGAACCAGCATGTGACCAAATGCCAGCTCCCCTGAGGCCAGGGCCATTGTGAGTGAGTGAGCGAGCGAGTGAGAGAGCAAGCGAGTGAGTGAGAGAGTGAGCGAGCGAGTGAATGAGTGAGTGAGCAAGCGAGTGAATGAGTGAGTGAATAAGTGAGTGAGCGAGCGAGTGAATGAGTGAGTGAATAAGTGAGTGAGCGAGCGAGTAAGAGAGCGAGCGAGTGAGTGAATGAGTGAGCGAGCAAGTGAATGAGTGAGTGAATGAGTGAGCGAGCGAGTGAATGAGTAAATGAGTGAATGAGTGAGTCAATGAGCGAGTGAGTGAGTGAGTGAGCGAGTGAGTGAAAGAGTGAGTGAGAAAATGAATGCGTGAGTGAATGAATGAGTGAGTGTGTGAGTGAGTGAACTAATGAATAAATGAGTGAATGAGTGAGTGAGGGAGTGAATGACTGAGTGAATGAATGAATGAGCGAGTGAGTGGGTGGGCCGGTGAAGGAGCTCGTGAGCAGATTGTTGACTTTGAATCAGGCTGGGCGAGTCTTCCCACCCCCTGCCCAGCAGGCGAGCCCAGGACAGGAAAAATTCAGTGCTGGCCGCAGGGAGTGGCCCGGCCGTTTAGCGGGGAAGTGGACGGGCTTCAGGAGCGAGCAGGCATGGCCATGCTGACTGTGGGCCTCCGTGCCGCTCTCACTCGGTCCTCACCAACTCGTGGAGGTGGCGTTATTACCCATTTCACAGCAGAGCAAATGGGACCGAGGTTATCCTGCCAGTGAACTCGGGCGTGGGTCTTCTGGTCCCGAGGCAGCCCTTCGGCACTGTCCACGCCGTCCAGCCAGCCACGGCTGTGGGCAGGACGTGCTCCGAAGGCGCTGATGACTCGGAGTGCCTTTGGGGGCTCCCTCTGGTGCCCGAGGTTAAACCCTGCTGCCGCCCCACAAGCTGGGAGGAAGAGTTGCCTGCCGTGTGTAATCTCGCTCCCCGCCTTGCACAACTTCACTGGATCCCCCAAACCCTGGGAAAACAGGGCTTGAAATAAAAACAGCGGCTGCCTGTGAAGTGTGCTTTCCATTTTGCCTGGCTGTAAATATTTGCAAAGGAATGAAAGCGTTTGCCAAAAGTTAGGGGAACAAAGGACATTCGAGTCCCACCCACACCCGCCCCTGTTTAGGTAGATGAGACTCCAGGGGGTGGGAGGGGTCCTGTGCTCTGATGGACACTGTAGGTGCCCCCCCGTGGCCCTGTGCTGTCCATTCTGTGGGTGACTGCACGCACCTTCCCAGGCCACTTGGCTGGTGTGCGGTGACCCGCCCACAGTCTGTCTGGGTCCCTCGCAGGTCCCTCTCCCAGGGAGACAGAGCCTGGGTGTGTCGCCTGAGCTGAGAGCGAGGTGTGGCACGGAGCCGTGGGCAGAAGGTGGATGAAGTCCCGTGCTCACATCCCGCTCTCACCGGCACGACTTTGCCCAGGGTCAGTGGCCCTTCCCTGCCAAGGGCCAGCTACTGGATGCTTCCGGCGTGGTGGCCCTAGGGTCTCTGCCGCAGCGGACTCTGCCGTTGTCATCGGAGAGTGGCTGTCCACGACCCCCAGAGAAGCAGGTGCAGCTGTGTGCCCCTAAACCTCTCTTCACAAGAAGCTGGCGGCTGGGCAGGTGACCCGGCTTTAGACACGTCACCTGACCTCTCTTGGCCTTAGTTTTACCATCCAGAGGATGGGACCACGGTAGGACCGTCCCGAGGATGCGGCTGGCACATCGCCGCCACGGCTCGGCGGCAGGTGCGATCACAGGGCAGGCCCTTTGAGCCTCAGCCGCAGGGACAACCCCGCCGCGGCAGTAACCGGCCGAGCCCAGAGCTGGCCGGCGTTTCTCGGCCTCCGAGGCTGTGTCTGGCTCCTCTCGCGGCCACAGTCAGAGTGCGTGAGATTTCACACGCCGAGTGCTGGCTCTTCTCTCCTGCAGGGTTTCGCTATGTCACCTGCCAGATCCACAATTGTTCCGAGAAGACGCTGACGGCTCCGTTCCCCGGCCCCATTGACCACAGTTCTCTGACCGTGCAGGACGATTACATCTTCTTTCAGGTAAGGCTGCTTCTGGGCGTCTTGGCGACGGGCCGTAGGCGATGTGGAGAACAAGCCGTGCCGGGGAAGATGGAATTGCTCACACAGGAGGCAATAAAACGGCTCTTTGACTTTTAAGGGTTACTTCATTCGTGCTTTCCCCCACCCAGGTGGTGGTGGCCGCAGGCAACCCGCAAGTCCCCGCCAAACCACAGCCTTGAGGCAGGGATGCTCCTCCTCCCTTCTACCCGTCAGGGACCTCCTGTGGCTCGTGGCCCCCAAGCCCGAACCCAGTTTGCTCCGTTTTGTTTCATTGACTTTGGAAATGATAGGGGCTGTCTCTGGTCATTGCCCTTGGCAGCCAGGCACCAGCTGGGTACAGCCCAGCAGCCGGGTGCCTGCTGCCTGTACACACAGGTACTCAGGTCCCAGTTGGGACCACCGTTAAACGACACGTGGTCTGACCATTCAGAAACTCCAGTGAATAGCTGGTCATACCACTTCTTGATTACTTCCACTGACGAGGAGCTCACTCCTTCCAAAACAGCCTATCCGTCTCCTGGATAGCTCAAATCTTTAGAAAGTTCATCCTGGCACTGAGACAGAGTGTTTCCTTTCCTCCTATCTGGTGGCCCCTGTCCTGCCTTCCGGGACCCCATGAGACACGTCTAAAAGCTCCTATGGAGAAGGCTCCCCACCATTCCCGGCCTCTTCTTTGCCCTGTCTCAGGAATGTTTCATTACTCCAGCTGTCCTGTCCACCCGCGAAATAACACCAGGCCCTCCTGGGGAACTGGCAGGGGCATCACAGCCCATTAGAGCAGGCCAGCCAAGAGGATCTTGTCCCTGTTCTTCTTTGGCCTCTGTGATATCCCATGATTGCCAATCTCCTCTGTGTGATTACACACTCTAGTCCCTGTCCTTGGGATGCCCATGTCTCTTTCTCTGCCTGGCTAACTCCCGCTCTCCTTCCAAGACTTAGTCATACATCACCTCCTTCAGGAAGCCTTCCCTGACTTCCATCTCTATTTCAGGCCCACTGGCTGCCTCCACAGAGCCCTTCCGTCACAGCCAGGCCACATGGTGTCATCCTTTATTATCTACACCAGACTCTACAATCAGGGGGTGGGCTCTACATCTGTACTAGAGGGAGGATGTACACCAGGGGAGCTGGGGGGCGGCTGGGTCAGAGGCCTGATTGTAGGGTGGAGCGTGGGAAGAGATGGGGAGATGCAGGGCTCTCTGTGACTGAGCATCTGGTAAGTCTGATCTGGAAGGAGCCAGGCTCACCGAGACCACAGGCAAGGTGGGATAGGAAGTGGCCCCCCTCCCCGCCGCTGGGACAGGGCACCTGGTCATTTCTGGGGTTTGCTCTGTGTGTGCTCAGACAGGGCTGTGGTGTGCCCTCGGCTTTGTCTCCAGCCTCACGGTCACAGAGGCCTGGTCTGACCTTGGACAGGCATGCCCCACCCTGTGCGCACGGGCAGCCCCCAGCACCAGCTCATACCATCAGGGGCCACGGGTTTCCATCAGACTCCTGTCCTTACTTGGTCCCCAGCTTTCTCAACAACTGCCCAGGAACGCTGTTCCTGACCCCCAACTCAGAGGTCACCCGGGGGGCTGCTCCCCTGCAGACCCTTACCTTGGGCGGGTTCCCTGCAGGGAGCCCACAGGAAACACTGGGAGGTAGTCCTGCCTGCCCTCCTCCCTTCCCCTCCTTCCTGGTCCTCGGAGGATCCCAGCCAGTGCCCACCGGCCCCTCCCGCTGCTCCTCCCCACCAATGAAGTATGCGATGAACCTGGAGGTCCACTTCCTGGGCCCCCAGGCAAGGCGCCGAGTGGCTCATGGTGCTGGTTTGTTGGCTGAAGCCATGCTGTGGGCCACGGATGGGACCTCACCCTCCAGAAAGAAGGGTCTGGGCCTCGGGGGACAAGGGGCACACAAGCGGGGGTCTGAATATGATGGTGCCACCGGCTGGCTTTGGGAAGAGCCATCGTTCCACCTCTGAGCCTCGATTTGCTGACCCATAAAATGGGCCTGATAAGCCCTGGCCACCCAGAGGCCCAGATGGACGCCAGCTGCATTCATGGCGGGGGAGAGGCCCTGTGAGATCCGGCAGAGGACCTGCCGTCCTGGGAAGAATCACCGCGGTTCAGCCTTCTCGGCCTGCTTCTACTGGTCAGCCCGGCCGGAGGGGCCAGGCAGGCGGTTCTCAGGAGGTAGGCAGACTCCCCTGTGAAGGGTGTTGCTGGGTTCAGCGCGATCCGCTCCCCGGGCAAAAGTTGCATTTGCGTCTCAGGGATGGCAGCGTTTTTGCTCGTCCCGCAGCCTCGGGCCTGAACCACGAGCCCCCTCGTCCCGTGGCCCTGCCCTTAGCAGGGCTGGCCCTTTAGAAAGGTTTGCAGGCTTCCTTCCTTCTGCACCACCAGCTTCCTTCATCCCCAGCTCCTGGCAAGAATGGACCTGGCCTACCCTGGCTGGCTGAGCATCTGCCCAGGGCTCCCCAAAGAACACGATCTTCTCGAGACTGAGGCCAGGAGGCTGCCCAGCCTGTCTCCACCTTCAGCACCATTCCTGGAGCTCAGCTGCTGGCAGACGGGGCTCTGAGAAGGGGCACTGACTTATCTCGGCCACTCTTTCCAGCGTCCTCCCTGACCTGCTAAGCAGGTCTGTCTCTGGGCTGCGTGGCTCTTCCTTCTGAGGAAGCAGGGTGCCCCCTCCTCCAGGAAGTCTGCCTGGCCTCTCCCACCCCGTGCTTCCCCCATCCCAACACCGCCTGCTCAGGGCCGCCGAGGGCCAGACCACACAGACCTCATAGTCCCTGCCCTCGGGATGGAATTACCTAGAGAAACCTGGTCAGCCTTGTAATCGCGATGCTTTGCACACTGTGGGCCTGTTGTAGTTTGTTGACTTGTAATAACAACAATTCCTACTGGGGCCACGTGCTGCCCCACGTGCTTCCCAGATGCTAATCCCCACAACTGCCCCATCACTTCGCTTCTGATCCTGTCCTCCCCATTTACCGGGGGTGGGGGTGGGGGGGACTGAGTCTCAGAAAACTCTCCCAAGGCCACGTGGCTCCTGATGGCAGAGGTGGAATCTGAGCCCAGGCAGTGACGCGTGATGCCCTGTGCTCTTAGGCATGGCACTGCGTTGCCACGAACACACGTGTGTATGCACACACACAAACACACAGAGGACTCCTTCTCACGCATGCATGCATAGAATTCACCCCCACATGCATGCACACAGTGGACACACACGTGTGAGGTTACGTGTTCACTCTCACACACGTGCATGGTCTGCACACCCACACACATGCATACACACGGTGAGACACAGAGGTCATCCATCGTCCCCCCCACCGGGCCACCGCCCTCCCCCAGCCCCTGTTGGCTGCCGCCTTGTCCCTCTCCTCCCACTCTCTTCTCCTTGCCCCATCCAAAGGAGAGCCTCTCTTTTCCTGGCTCATCTGTTATCGCCCACGGAAGACAAATGACTCATCTCCGTGCTCAGTATTCTCATCTTTACAATGGAAGCGATCGCAGTTTGTGGGGCTGGTTGTCGGGAGACCAGATGAGCGGCGCTCAGGACAGCGCGGCCACGTGGACCATCTCAGCACGGGTCGCCTCCTGTCTCGATTCTCACGCCTCATGGCTTGATAGTCGTCTTTTGTGGTTTGAGTTTACCTTTGGCCAGTCTCTTCCTTCACCCAGTGCTCTCCCTAAGAAAAATTCTGGGGAGGAGAACTTCCCACTTTGTTCTGTAATGTGGATGTAGGGACACAGGTGCTGAGAGAGCGTGGGGACAGAGGTTGGTTCTAACAGAGACATGGAAGGGGAGGGGCGTTTGGTGTGGGGCTTTGAAGGATGAGTAGGAGTCTGTCCATTTCAGGCAGAGCAGGTCTAAGCAAAGTAAAAGGGCATTCTCACCAGCTGAAATACAATTTCTAGTTTTTCATTTGTGAGGACCTGGCTTGACTGGAAACTCGCTTCTTAAAAATGTGTTTTTTCCCTGCTGTTAGACAACCTCAACAAACCGGACCAAATACTACATCTCTTATCGTCGCAGTGAATTTGTCCTGATGAAGCTGCCAAAGTATGCACTGCCAAAGGTAAGAGTCGTTTCCCCTCCCACCTGACCCCGTGGCTAGGTCCCGAGCCCACACTGACTCGTGCCCAGCTCCATCCGGTCGTAGGGCCTCGGCCATACTCTCCCCTCGGCCAGGTCTGCCTCTTCCCCAAACCCCTGCACACGAGATGTTTCAGACAAGACAAATGTCTCTTATAAGGGCCTCTCCAGGCCAGTCCAGGCCTTGGTTTCCCTCTTGCACCCTCATCCTCCTCCTTCCTGACACTTGGGGTGCTGGCGATCCCCTGTATCCATCTCCTGCTTTCATCTGGGGTTTGCAGGTGAGGGGCAGTTTCTGTTTTATTCACCTCTGCATTCCAGCTGCCTAATATGGCCACGGACACATAGTAGGTGCTCAGTTAATGCTACTTCCTTCCCCTTTGTTGGGCTGGCAGAGAAGGGGGATGTGGGGGCTGCCCGGACCCTGCCCTAGCCCTGCCTCAGGACCAAACTCCACAGTGCCCTCCCTGCTGATGTTGTTCCCAGGTCCCAAAGGAGGTGATGGACATTCAGAGAGGCTGAGTAACCTGTCTGAGGTCACACAGCTAATAAGGAACCGAAGGTGGTCTGAGACCAGCCTCATGCCACATCTCCCTCCAGAGGATCTCGGATGGCCCACTTCCCAGAACTCCATCCCATGTGCTTGTGATTGAGAAGCACAGATGGGAGTAGCCCTTCCACCCCCACATATTTGTTGAGCATCACGTATAAGCTAGGAAGCATGCTAGGGTCTGATGCTACAGCTCTGGATCAGATACCCCAGTTCCTGCTCTTGGTGGGTTTCCAGCAAGGAAGCAGGCGGAAAACCAAGTAGACAGACAAATGTATGAAATGATCTCAGGTTGTGCTTTTCCCTGTGAGGGAAGGAGAGGTAGAGGCCGAGGGTGATGGGGTTGGGGGACATCACTGAGGGAACGTTTCCTCTGAAGTCTTAAGGTGGAGGGAAAGCTGTGCAGGTGGAGGTCTGGGCTTGTGCAAAGGGCCTGGGGCAGGAGGGAGCCTGGCTGTAAAGCAGCGGGTGGGGGTGGGGAGAGGAGATCTTTGCTCTGGGCCCTGCAAGGCCGGGGGCCACGCATTGTTGTAAAGCCCCCCACACCCTCGCCTGTGCTGGGCTGTCCCGGGCAGCGGCACACCTCCCCTGAGCCAGGAACAAGGCAAGTACTTAAGGGTTTTCTTTAAAACTTCAAGAAAACTTTTTAAAACTTCTCCTTAAAAAAAGAAAAGGAAAGGGGATACAATGGAAAGGAAAAGAAAGAAAGAAGAAGAGCAAGTTGCAGAGATTAACTCCAGGCTTGGCTGAGCCAAGAAATGAAAAGCTAGTGGGTTCATGTAGGGCAAATGCATTGGTGTCCCTGGGGGTGAGGGGTCCTTTCAGCTTGTAGGGTTTTCCTTCCCCCCAACCCCGGGGGGCTGCAGCATCAGAAGCGCCCTATGTCCTGGAGTTGGGGAGGGGGACACCTGGCAGGGGGGCGGCTGGACCAGCAGCCAGGCCATTTCTGAAGGAGTTCCAAGGAGCCGAGGGCCCCAAGTCATGACCTCTGTGGCCTCGAGAGCTGGCCTCATTTCCCTGGACCTCAGAGTCCTCGTCTGCAGAGGGGATGAGGTGGCGGTGCGTGTTTCTCAAAGTCACTGGTGCGGTTTGCGGAAAGCACCGTGCGTGTGGCTCACTGCAGCTTCCTTCGTCCCCATCTCTGGGGATAAAGGGGGTCATTGAAAAGAATCTTGAGGCTCTGATGGAAGACACAGCCTTCGCATCATCAGTGGGTGGCAGGAATGAGACTCCTACAAGTCCCCATGTCATCGGTTTCAAGGGAAGACCAGGCCCACATTCGGATCGTACATTTGCGCGTGGGCGGAGCCTGGGGCCCAGTGACAGGCAGCTGGGGACAATGGGCGAGCTGGGCTGCTCTTGGGAGCACTCCCCCGCACCCCTGGAGACCATATATCATCTTGCTGAGCACTTTGCCCAACCACACAGCAGGTCTGCTTCCTCTCCACCAAGTTCAGGGGAGCGGCCAGACTGCAGTGTTTCCCACCAACAACTGTAGAACTGGCTAGTTGAATTTCCCAATCAGAGTTTGCTGTTCTTCGGTGAATTTAAATATTTGTGTAGCTTGGCACCTCCCACCTCGCCACTGGCCACGTTAGAACAGATGGGTGTCAGCAGAGCTTTGCCCAATTTCATGTTGGATCCATTCTTTCAACATTCCTTCTACTTCAAAAGGCATGATTCATACCATTCTACTGTTTTAACTCACCTGCCTGTGGAAACTAGAGTAGGTGAACAGGTTTTATTATATTTGCCAGTATCCTTTGCTTGAATTACTTACTTGTAATGATTTTTTTAAAAAAACCACCTTCCTTAACAGAGAAAAAAATTGGCAAAGCTATAAACAGACAAAAGGAAAAAAATCCAAATAACCATCAATTATATGAAACCATTCATACACATAAAGTAAATGCAAATTTACTTTCAAGTAAAATATTCCTTTATTTGTAATAACCTTTATACAATAAAATGAAACCCATAAAACGTAAGAATGAAGGAGGAAGGGGCGCCTGGGTGGCTCAGTCGGTTGAGGGTCTGACTCTTGGCATCGGCTCGGGTCGTGGTCTCATGGGTTGTGGGATTGGGCCCTCTACTGGGCTTCCCACTCAGCAGGGAGTATGCTTGGGGCATTCTCTCTCCCTCTGCCCCTCCCTATGGGCATGCTCTCTCGCTCTCGCTCTTAAATAAATAAATCTTTAAAAAAAAGAATGAAGGAGGATGGGATGGCACGGATGGTGGTGGAGCGTGCCAGCCCCCCCATCTTCTCGCTTAGGCAACACTTGCTTCTGCAGAATCAGTCCAAATCACCTGTTTTAGAACTCTGGAGTCTATTCAAGGGCTTGCAGTCTCCAGGGGAAGGTTTGGACAGTAAATCAAGGTTAATTTCCACAATTTTAGCTCTTCCCATGATAGCCCCAGCACGCGCCCCCCCTCCCCCCGCCCCAGCCTTGTGGCAGACAGCTGTGCTCATGGGCCCGGAGCAGCTTGCAACTCACTTGCAGGAGCCAGGGTGGCTACGGGGACCTTTCTCTCTGAATACTGGGGATCTGCACTGGGGGTAGATTGCTGCTTCTGCTCATGACGGTACAGACATCCTGGTGGGCAGCCATTGCTCCAGCCAGCACCAGCCGAAGCAGTTTCTGAGGGATTTAAAGGACCAGAGCCTGCTTCCACCCCCCACCCCCTTGGACATTTAGGGACCATGACATTCAAAAGCAACCAGTCGTATGTTCAAATTTAGAAAAGTCACCATGCATGCCCAGGGAAAAGCTCAGGCTCACTTGAGTTTCTACCTCAGACTGATCCCTGGTACAGAAACAAAAAACGACACACCCTGGGGAAGGGAGAGAACCAGATTTCCAGAGTTACCACATTATTAGATTACAGTGTCCACTTTTCAACAACAACAACAAATTACAAGGCATAAAAAGAAAATATGATCCAATCAAAGGAGAAAAAGCGACAGAAACTATCCTTGAAAAGACCAGATGGTGAACCTACCAGACAAAGACTTTAATACGACTCTCCTAAAGATGCTCAGAGAGCTAAAGCAAACTGTGAAGCAAGTCAAGATAACAAGGTACAAATGACCAAAATAGAAGTAGCCAAGACATAGATTGAAAACATAAAAAAGAACCCAAAATAAATTCTGTAGCTAAAACAAACAATAATCGAAATGCAAAATTCCCTGGGTGGATTGAAAAGCAGGTTTGAGCAGACAGAAGAAGGACTCAGAGAACTTGAAGGTGGGACCATTGATGTTAAGGAGTCAGAGGGACAGAAAGCCAAAGGGATTGAAGAAGAGTGAGCACCATCTGACGGGCCAGCGGGACAGCAGCAAGTGAACGAACACATGCATTGTGGGCATCCCAGGAGAGGAGAGAGAGATGGGGGCAGGGGGATTGTTTAAAGAAGCAATGAGGTGGCTCAGTTGGTTAAGCATACGACTCTTGATTTTGACTCCAGTCATGATTTCATGGGTCGTGGGATCCAGCCCCGTGTCAGGCTCTGCACCCAGCACGGAGTCTACATGAGTTTCCCTCTTCCTTTCCCCTCTCTCCCTCTCTCTCAAATAAATAAATAAAATCTTTTTAAAAAAAGAAGCAATGGCCCAAACTCTCCCAAATTAATGAAACACATGAATATAAATGTCTATAAAAGCCTGATGAACTCCAAGTAGTGAAACACAATGAGTTGCACACCAAGATGCATTGTAATCAAACCACTGAAAGACAGAGAAAGAATCTTGAAAGCAGCAAGACAGAAGCAGCTTGTCACATACGAGGATCCTCAATGAGGTAACCAGCATATGAATCACACTTGGGCAAAGGCCCCAAGGTACACATTTTTAAATGTTAGTATCAGGTCTCTCTAGGGACGGCATTGCTGGCTACTTGTAGCTGGACCTGAACAGTCTTTCCTGGTGACAAGCTTCTTGGTTGCAGTCACTTCTGCATGTTAGATTTAAGTCTATAGACAAAGGGCCCCAGCTCGTGCTGCCAGGGGCCGCCCTGATTGGGAGGTGCATGGTCGGGGCTTCACAACACTGCATCCCTCTTCTGCAAGGCCCCTTCTTTTGTCCGTATAACACAGGGGAGGGGGGGGGAGGGCAGGGTGGGGGGGGCATCAGCACTGCGTCCCACCCAGGCAGCCAGTCCTTCCCTCTGCTGGAGGCCACGCCCCCCTGGACAGAATAGAGACTTGGTGTGTTATTAGAGAAACAGGCTCACCTGTCCACCCATGCCCTACTACCAGGTGGGAAGACATAGGGAGAAGCATCCCCCCAAAGTGCAGCAGCCCTGCACAGGGCGGGGCCGGAGGGGACCACCTCTCCTCTGCAGGTGCTGGCTGGCGTGACCCGGCCTCATGCGTCCATCCTCAGCGCCTGTGTCTTGGCAGCTGTCTTGCTAGCAGGGCAATAAAAGTTTCGGGGTGATAGAAGGGAAGTCATAGACGCTGGAGAGGAAAAGCTTGTTACGGCTTTGAAATGGGCGTGTTCACGGGCCTCCCACACAGCACTGGGCGCTGGCTGGGAGAGAAAACGAAAACGGAGCAAGGATGCCCCTGGGTTCCTTTTTCTTCCTTTTTATGTGATTAGGTTTTGTTCTGCTTCTGATTGTAAAATCTGGAACCAAGCCCCGAGTCTTGAGAGGACTGCCGAGTGACTTAATCCAGTCCTCCCTCCCCCAGGGTATGTTCCCAAGGGCAGAGCCTGCCTGTGGTCCCTGCTGAGTCCCAGTGCCTGGTACACAGTAGGTCCCTAATGAATGCATGCTGCGTGAATGAACCCAGAGATGACTCACCTGATCCTCAGGATGGGCCTGCAGGGGAGGCCCGTCCCCTGCCTCCCAGAGGCGACCGCTGGGGGTGCATGGAGGAAGAAGTCCTCCGCACATGCAGGGACAGACAGGCAGATAGCCTGACGTGGGGCTGGGAGGCGGAGGCCTCAGCGTGCCCCGCTCCGTGCCTGGGCCATCCCTCCCACAACCCCATACCACCTGCAGAGGACCAGATCGTCATCCCCATGTTGGAGGTGGGAAAACGAGAGGTAAAGGGACGTGTCCCGGGTCACAAGGCTGAGGCAGAATCAGGATGAAACTCTAGGTCAGCCTGACTCCCAGGGAGCCGGGACCAGCCCCCTGCCAGACCTAAGCCCTGCCCCATCCCATCGGGGCTCCGTCTCCCACCCCCGCCCCCAGCCCACCCCTGACGCTGTGCTCTCCCCGCGTGTCCGCAGGACCTGCAGATCATCAGCACGGACGGGAACCAGGTGTTCGTGGCCATGCGGGAGTGGTACCAGACGGACACCTACAACCTGTATCAGTCGGACCCACGCGGCGTGCACTACGTGCTGGTGCTGGAGGACGTGCGCAGCTCCCGGCAGGCGGAGGAGAGCGTGCTCATCGACATCCTCGAGGTGGGGCGCCGGGGAGAGATCGGGGGCCGCGGCCCGCCGGTGCCAGGTGTCAGGTGTGGGGCCAGGCCTCACCCTGTCCTGGCTCTCTCCTCTCCCCTCCTCCCTTCTCCCCCGGCCCCCCACTCATCCCTAGCCCTCTCTCTCAGGTCTGTGACTGTTTCGGGAAAGCACCACGTATTTGAGGCTTTGAAGGCTGAGAGGGTACTGTGTAGATGCTCTCAGAGCAAGAGAGAAAACTTCGTCCTTTTGATGAAATTCCAAATTTAATATTGGAGTGCGATTTCTCTGTGATACAGAGCTACCACAGAGAAGGATGAGAGTCTTTGGGGAGTACTATTTTGCTGATTCGGGGACCCGTGTTAGCAGTCCTCACGGTAGACACGATCGCGGGCCACCATCTGGAAAGCCGTTCCTGGCTCGCGCTCCGAGGCACGAAAGCAGGCACGGTGGGGTTTGGCCTGAGGGACAGAGGCGGCGACTCCGAGCACCCTGCCTCCCCGCCTCTCCCCCTGCACTCGTCCCTGCCTCAGCTGTCTCCTGCGGAAGCCTGCACTTGCTCTCCTCAGACGCGAGGGCCCGATCGGAGGCTCAGAACCGGGGCTCCTGACTCCCAGGCCAGGTGCCCCCGCGCACCGTCTCGCTCTGTACTTGGATTCCACGGACATCCATGACCCTGGGCCCTGCCTGGACTGGGTTCTCATGGTCACCACCTCTGTTCCGGTCCACGCCAGAGCCAGGGGGTGCCGCTCAGCCCATTTCCAGGTCAGGAGCCTGAAGCTCAGAGAAGGTGAGCAACCTGCCTGGACAGACGCAGGAAACCAAGCAAGGAAACCAGAACCAGCCCAGACCTGTCCGCCCTGGGCTTGGCTCCAGACTTTTAGCCAGCACTCCCCCGCTCCGTCCTTCACCTTTACGCTCTCCCCTCATGCCTTGCCTTCGGGGAGCCCCCGCCCGTGGGAACATCAGCAAGTGCCCTAATTGCAGTAAGTGCTGGGGTGTCTGTGGGTGCGAGCAGAGCCTGGGGCAGACAGCTGTGTTCATCAGCGTGGGAGGCAGCCTCCCGGAGAGACCCGGGGATCCAGCCTTCACCTCTGAGCTGCTAATGAGCAGCAAGGAACCATTTTCCCCAAGAAAGTAATGGATGAGATCACTTGTTCACAACGAGAGCCCATTGGTCAGTGCTCACTTCCCCGCTGGAGGACCCAGAGGAACACGGCCGGTGGCCCCCTGCCCTTTGCTGGAGGTGGCCTCATCCTGCCTGAGGAAGCCCCACACCCTGGGCCCTGTTCTGCACAATCTCCAGGGGGGGCCACTGGGCCCGTCCCAGGCCCGGCTCTGAAAGGTGTCGGCTACTGCACCACAAGCCGCTGGGGACAGGGCGCAAGTGACAGTGGCCCAGGAGGGGTGACCAGGACGAGGGGGCCGCACACAGGGGTCTGTGGTGCTTGGACCGCACACCAGGCTCCGGGCCCCTCCCTAGGGACGGGGTGGGAGGAGCAGCCCGCCCCTCCCAGAGCTGCCGGCCTCCGTGAGAAGACCAGCTCCCAACAGTCGCTCTGATCCCGTGTGCCAGCACCCAGTGGCGGTCGCCCAGCCCAGGGTGGGAGTCAGGGAGTGCTTCCTGGAGGAGGGGGTGCAGACCGAGTCGAGGCAGAGCAGAAATCAGCCAGCTGGGGAACCAGGGAACATCTGTGGACAATGACCACGAAGTAAGAGGACATGAGGAACCAGAGGAGGTTCACAGTGGCCAGGAGCAAAGGTGACGCCTGCCGCCCACCCGCTGGGTGTCCTCACAGGGGACATCTCTTCTCTGAAATCCAGCTCACAGGGGTCACGGGTGGTGCTTACAAGCACAACTCTGGAGCCGCACTGCCTGTGTTCAAATCCCAGTTCTGGTATGTGTTTACTGTGTGACCTTAGGCAGGTTACTTAACTTCTCTGTGCTTCCGTTTCCCCACTGAGAAATGGGGATGGCAGTACTACTTTCCTCATAGGATTGCTGTGCAGTTTCAAGGACATAGTCCTCCTTAAACATGGAGACCAGCGTTTGGTGCCAAGTCAGCACTCAGCGAGCTCTCCACTGCTCACCCGGTTCCTGGGGATTAGCGCTAATGCACAGGAAGGACCTGGCCCAGAATCGAGCTTGTGAGGTCCCACACACGAGCCAGTTATTGTCATGGTTATTGTTCTTCCTATGGCGTGTCCAGCAGCCGTCCCAGGCAGATACTGCCCCAGAAGGCCTGGACTTTCACGTGCCCCTGAGCTAGGACCTCAGCACGGTGCACCCCGGGTTCAAGGCAGGACAGCAGCCCTTTCCTGAGTGCCTCCGTGCTGGAACTTGGGTTAGGAATGGGGGTTCAGGGGATCCCAGTCTTGCCCCTGCCCATGAAGGGCCCTGGCCACAGTTTGGAAGGCAACCATTGTCGTGGCCTGAATGGGGACCCCCAAAAATATATGGCCATATCCGTCCCTGGAACCTGTGACCATGACCTTATCTGGAAAAAAGGTCTTTGCGGCGGTCATTAAGTGAAGGACCTTGTGATGAGACCATGCCGGATTGTCCAGCTGGGCCCCAGATCTAATGACAAGTGTCCTTCGGGGTCGGAAGAGGAGATGCAGGGACGTGAAGACGGGGGCGAGGTTGGAGAGCCACGGACACAAGCCCGGGGCCCCTGGAGCCACCAGAAGCTGGAAGGACAAAGGAGGGTCCTCCCCGGGGACTCTGGAGCGAGCGCAGCTCTGCCTACACCTCCGTTTTGGACTTCCGGCCTCCAGACTGCGGGAGAAGAGATTTCCGGCTGGCCCCCCGGTTTGTGGTGCTTTGTTACTGCAGCCGCGGGAGTGAACACCGCCCTGAAGATCGGGGCCGTGGGTGAGCACGCTGAGGCTGCGGGCTGGTGCGCCTCGGCTCAGAGCCTGCGGAGGGCACGGCCCGCACCTGTCATCTGCCGGCGCCCAGACGTGAGGGTCCGTGCTCTTGGCTGCTGGGTGTTCATGGAGACCAGCGGGATAGGAAGTCGCCACTGCGGAATGAAGCAAGCCCGCGCTGGACAAATGCGCATCCGGCCTGCCCTGAGCATGTCGGGGAGGCCTCTCGAGCCAGCGCTGGGCCCCGGGTGAGCAGGAGGCAGAGCGACGTCACCATGTGTGGGGGAAGGGGCCGTGGTCCTCCACGCCCCGGGCCGTCACCGCGGGGGGACCAGCCCCAGCTTCGTCGGTGGACCGGGCGCTGGACACCCTTCCCACCCAGAGCGGCAGCCTGTGCAGACGTGCGTGGCACGGGGCAGTTAGGGTTGGCGGGGCCCTCTGTGATCACGGGGGTCCCTGAAAGGGGGGCAGACAGGGAGGGTCAGAGAGACACGTGTAATCATGGGCCTCAGGCCAGAGAGACGCCGCCCCACCGGCTTCGGGGGTAGAGCTGGGGCCTCCAGAAGCTGGGAGAGGCCCGGACAGGATTCTCGATTCTCACCTGGAGCCCCCAGGACGAGCCCCCAGGACGAGCCAGCCCTGCGACCCCGGGGACACCGGTACGGGACTTCCGACCTCCAGAACTATAACTGTGTTACTCTGTTACGGCAGCTACAGGAGGCGCGTCCACCCTCCACTTGTCCATCTTTCCTTCCATCGCCGCGCTCTCCCCACACGGGGGGGGGGGGGGGAGGGTGGCACGTGGCAGGCCTGTGTGCTGAGCACGGGGGAGGGCCTGCCTCAGGCGTTGGGGGGAGCTCGTAGGTGGCCCGCCACAGAGAAGGCGCTCGGGAACCGTGCATCGTGACCTTGATGTAAGCAGATTCCTTGGCCTGGGACCTTGGGTAAATTCCGTGGCTCCCGGAGGCTCCGCTTTCTCGGGCTCACCTTGAGAAGCAGTGACATGCTGCCCACGGAGGGGCACACGGGAGGCCACGCGGATGGGTCTCGGTAGCTGTGGCCCCGAGGACCCTGTGTATTCGTAAGGAACTTGCAGGGAGAGGCCGCCTCTGTGGCATCAGGAGGCTGACCTCCGGGCATTTGCTGATATTTGACCTTTGTCATGGGCCCGCTCAGTAGCCGGCTGTTGGCTATGTTTGGGTCACTGCGCGGGCACTTGTGAAACTCTGAGAAAGGGGACAAGGTGAACCTGAGCCCCTGGCCGAGGCGGGGCTGTGGTAAGCACCCACCCCGTGTCCTCACTACCTGGTATTTCCACATGGGGGGCTGAGCTGAGCGAGTCTGGAGGGGAGTCCACAGCAATGACCCAGGCCCTGTGGGTCCCGTGGAGGGGGGCAAGGGCTCTGAATCGGGAGCTCTGGGGTGGAGACGGGGTGACCGTGACACACAGGCCTGGTGCGACCAGGGCTCTGCTCACTGTATGATGGCCAGTGTCTGGGCCTGGGAAGATAGCTCCGTGTCATGTGAGCACCCAGGCTTTGGGGGCCACAGTCAGGGATCCCTTGTCCCCCGAGCCCCACGCACCTCCAGAGTGTTCAGTCAGCCTCAGCTCTGGGGCGCTTGCCAGCGTGAAACACGGCCCTGCGGACAGAGCGCTGAGCAAGCGGCTGGCACATGGCAGATACTCCATTGTCAGAGGGCTCCAGGCACGTGTTTACGACACTTCTTGTATTGCTGTCCCAGGTCCGAGGGGTGAAAGGAGTCTTCCTGGCGAACCAAAAAATCAATGGGAAGGTGGTGACACTTATAACCTACAATAAGGGCCGTGACTGGGCTCACCTGAGGCCGCCGAGCACGGACATGAATGGAAAACCCACCAACTGTGAGCCGGTAAGTGCCTCTCCTATCCTGCACCTTCCCTGGGGTGGCTCAGGTAGGGACGTCTGAGAAGGGCCATCTGAGAGCCAGGGGCCACAGACATCTCTGGGCATGGCAGAGAGGCTCCCGTGAAACCCCTTGCTTTACGGAAGGGTTACCTGGAGGTCAGAGAGGGAAAGTGCATCAGTCAGCATGGGTCACAACGTTGCTGCGTAACAAACTGCCACCAACAGTCCCACATTCTCCAGATCTGGGCTGGGCTCATCACAAATGTGGGTGTTGGCTGATGTCGGAGGGGGTCTGCTCCCTGTATCAGGCCTCCTCCTCCTGGAACCAGCCCTGGCTCCCTGTCATGGTGATGGCTGAGGTGCCAGAGGGTGAGCAGAAGCAGGCAAGCACACGGCAAGCCTGTTACACCTGCTAAATCCATGGGCCCCCACGGAGGGAAGTGCATGCTGCCTCTGTGTGTGTGGTGTGAGGACTGGGATAAGCGGCCAGGCTGGACCACAACCCAAATGTCCTGAGCTCTAGGCCGGTCCCGCTATCCCCGGGGTCCTCTCACATGAACAACCGTGTAGGTTGCCCCAGTACGTTGACTGCCCTGGGGGGCTTGGCCCCCGGGAGGTGTGGATGGCAGGCAGGCCCATGTCTGTGAGGATGACAAGATGGAGCACTAAGGAGCCCTGGCTTGAGGCAGGCTTCTCAGTGCCCTGCAGACCCACCTCTCCTTGCTCCACGGAGAGCTCACCACCAGCACCAGCACCTGGCCTTCCCTAGCAGGGGCTGCTCCGAGTGGGATGGGGTGGGGTCCGGAGTTAGAGCTGCACAGAGCAAGCAGGCAGGGCAGGGCACGTCCCTTCCCGTTTGGACTGCCCCCCTTCTTATGTTGTCCTGTGGCCTGGAATGCCTTTTCCTTTTTCTTCATCCATCAAACTCCTATTGACGCCTGAAAACCTTGCCCAAATACCCCTCCTCTGAGAAGCCTCCACTGGGCATACTTGCTTCTCTGTTTTCCACTGGCCTTGACTGTAAGTCCCTGCAGGTAGGGACCATCTCTGGGGATGACCTGAGCCCATCCATAGCTCTGTCCCTCTGCAATACAGAAAGAAGGACAGTGTCTGTTTTACAGGGATATTCGTCCAACAAAGATATATGGGTAGCTACTATGTGTGAGGCGCTGTTCTGGGTGTTTGGAATACATCAACACACCTAACCCTGCCCTCCCGGGATCCTGCCTGGATCTCTCTGCAGGGCCTCCGAATATGGTAGGCCCCCGGCCCACCGGCCACGGTGTGGAAATGATCCAGGAAGAATCTGTGCCTCCCTCTTCCTCAGGGATGCTGACCCCCAAGAGCCCTCCCTAGGGCAGCAGCCCCAGCCTGGCAGGGATGGCCCTTGCTTGGTGAGCCCAGGCCTGGGCTGCCCCTCACCCCCCACCCAGAGGCCCGTGCCCAGCCTGGGTGCGATGCCCTCCCACCGAGACCCACGGGGGGGGCGGGGAGTAACACCTGTCGACCTGCGGGAAGAAGTAATTTCCTGCCGCTTGTACAAAGTCTTCGGAGAACGGGAGTGCTGTGAAGGGCTCATTTTTGTATCATCATCAGCAAAGTTAAGCCATATTAATCTGTCAAAGCAAGTTTTTTGCTAAGAATAGATTCTCGTCTGCAATTATGCAGCTCAGTGAGGAGATACCGTTCGTGAGATTCATGTCCTCGCTTTAAAATAACACAAGTGGGAGCAGGCTGGTGGAGTGTGTGGCCCCAGCAGCCCGCGGAGAGCCCGGTGACCTCCAGGCGAGAGAGAGCGAGGTCCAGGCCTGGCCACTCACCTGGGTCTCTTGTCTGCATCCTTCACTCGGCCGCACGTCCTCTGCACGAACAGAGGGCTCACTTCTCCTCGAAAAAGGGGTTCCCGCTTATTGCAGAATATGGAAATGTATAGCCAGGGAGAGAAGGTACAGCCATCCCCGGGTCACCCAGAAATAACAGTAATCGGGCATATTCCTGACAATCTTTAGCTTCCGTGCAGTGGAAGAGTCATCACGGGGACCCCAATGCATGTGTGATGTGTCTTCTTTCTCTTAACTCCGGGTCTTTTCTCAACTCTGGCTCTCCGCGGGGGCAGATTTCCTTCCGAGAGTGGGGACTGGGGACGTAGATGAGTGTCGGGATCAGATCTGTTTAGGGAGGATAAATCCTCTTTGGAAGTGGTTTGAATTTGTTTATGTCTTAATTCAGAATGAAAACCCATCCGCTCTGCAGCCCTTCTCAGACCCGGGCTGTGTCAGGAAGGGGCCAAGAAGGGGGTGCTGGGAGTGTTGTGCGCCTCCCCTGCATGGCCCGCCTCGCACCCCCACAAGCCCTGCAGGGCCCCGGGCTCACCCCTCTTAGGACAGGATGTTCAGCTGTGACACCAGCTTCCCCTTGGGGGCTCCCGCCTGGCCCCTCTCTGACAGCCCTGGCCCTGACTGCAGGGGGCCTGAGTGCCCTGGGCTCGGCCCCCCCAGTTCTGCCTCACCCTGCCCACCCAGCCCTCCATCAGCTCAGCCCACATGTGGCTGGTGGGCGATCATAAGGCCTGTGTCGAGCTGTCAGACTCCAGCAGAGCACCCCAGCAGCTCTAGGACCCCCGGGAAGACACTTGTCAGTAGGCCCTCCGTGGCTCCAAAGGGGACCCCAGCTCTGCTCGCACCTGCCAGCATCCTATGGGTCACAGCTGAGCGCACAGAACCCTGAGGAGGTTCCACCTCTGGCCCAAACAAATAGCTGGCAGCCGGGACAGCCTCCAGCAGCCGGGGAGGGGGATGCGGCCAGGTTCTATGAGGCAGGACACTCTGCGGCGCTCGGCTCACTGCCCACACAGTGGTACCATATGCACAGTGCATCAGGGGACATGGAAAGCCTGGTGGCAGCCCAGGGAGGCCAGCCCGGGAGTGCAGGCTGCTCCAGGCCCCACCTGGCCCACCAGGAAACCAGGGGCAGCGAAGCAGGGATGTGCCACCTCCCCTCTCTGCCTCACCCCTGGTGAGGCTCCTTTTTCTTCTGACTTAGAGCTCCCTTGTACCCCCGGGAGCCAGCCCTGCCCACAGAGGTCATGGGTGCCGGGGTACCCCTCCCCGGGAGCCGGCTGTGCCCACAGAGGTCATAGAAATCTCCCTGCCCCTTAGTGTCTGATCACGGGGTGGGGAGGGGGAGAGAACTGAATGGTCTCATCAAAGATACTGACTCACCAATCTGCTTTTCAGTCATAAAAAGTCCAGAGAAAACCCCAACAGGCAAAGTCTTACCCCATGGGTTTGTGGGGAGGGTTTGTCCTGTTGGATCCGAGTGCTCCTGGACTGGGCGCAGGGCTCTCCTCCGCTGACTCAGTGACTCTGCGCTCAGCTGCAGCAGGGGATCCCCTACCCCACGCCCAGCCACCCA